CAGGCTGGGACCATGAGGCCAGCTGAAAAACAATTAACGTCAGAATCAGGTTAGTAAAAATTATACTTGTCCTCTACTACACGAAAAATAAAGATAATAGAAATATATAGTGTGCCGTTATTCGTGGTACAAATGAGGCGAAGGTGATTCGAGAAAAATAAAGAGAGAATAAAATTTCTTCGTTCGAATAGATCAATTTTTTGAAAATTTTTTAAATATAATTAAAATTGGTAGACTTATTTTTTTTATTATTAAGTCGTATTACAAATAACACGTGTCCTTTATACAATGATCGCAAAATGTATTTAAGTCTTTTTTAAATGAAATTCGTTTAAAAATTTATTGATAATTCAAGCTGTAAAAAAAAAGAAATTATTCCAATATCACGTACGAATAAATAGATCGAATTGTAAAACGACTTTGAACCAGTTTCATCGACAAAAGAGAGACTGAAATGAAAAGGATAAATTTCAATTCGCGGTCGTGACGAGATCTTTGTGCATGAAATAATTTATCCATCGCGGCAGGAAATTGTTTCATTATATCGTAAAACTGGTTCGTTCGAGTTGCTAAGCTTGATTTCACATCCGTTTCGATCGAAATCGAATATTATTCCCTTCGTATTTTCGCTTTAATATCCGGAAACCGACAGAATTCGACATTAAATTTTTTTTAAATATAAAGTCTGTTAAAAAGAAAATCAATATTAAAAATTTTTATCGTTTTAGAGAGGCCGAGACAGAACATCAGGCTTATGCCAATGCTGAGCGTGATGATCGGCGTGGTGACCGCTTTGATCATCGTCGCGGTAATAGTAATGGTCGTGCTCAGAATTCAGCACACGCAGGTGGACGAACAGAGCAAGTCGCAAATGGAGGAGCACAGCAAACAAACGAAACCGGCTCCCATCCAACGGGAACTGAGGTTTCGGGAGGGAAGCAGTTTGCTCACGGATGAAAAACATCCCAGCAGTCCTTTCAGAAAGCTGGAGAGCAGCGGTGACATAAGCGAGAACGACGAGAAGAATCCAGATATCATACCTCAGCAAATCACCGGTTCGTGTTCCAAAGATTCGACTAGATCCGCTACTACACTATAACTTGAGATTTGCGATACTTTCGATCTCCAATTTTACTCTCCTTTTCAAACAATATCTTGAAAATGGCTCCAAGTTTTGAAGTAATAAGCAAAATTCTTTCAACGATATCCTCGATCCCTTGGAAAATAAATTAAATTAATTAAAATTTCTAATTATTCTCAAGTAAAAGCAATTTGAAATTGTCGTACGTACACAGGCGACGAGCCGTCCGAGTACCTGAGAAAGAGGCGGCTCGTGTCGACAATCGAAACATCGCCATCGAGAAGTTTGTTGGAACACTCGACGGTCACTTCCGTAAGCGGGCACAGCAGTTACGTCGGTTACTGCACCATTCGCAATGGCATGCCGTTGCACGAGTTCTCGAACCTGACGACGAAGCATAAAAGCGTAAGTTTCTAATTCGCACTAATGCGTTTTCCGATTATTCGCCATTACATTGGTCCCTAATTACAACTATTCCATCCAACTAAACTCCTCCAGTTAGATATATACATTCTAACTCTCTTCTTTCCCTCGATTATTCCCAGTGAACATTGCTCGTCGTTTTCAAAATACTCCCGCGTATGGACAACGATGACAACAAAGCGATTATTTGCCTTGTCCATTTGTAATAACGACAAATCTCAAGCTGAAACATTCAAAGGCCATCGATCACCATATATACATATATATATAAATTGCAGTTTCAGCCAATAGTGGGCGACGACTATCAAAGCGGGGTTTGCACACTGCCGAGGCAACACTGGCCGAGCCAAAGCGTTCAATCAATGTCGATGACGATGAGCCCGCCGATGCTCTACACAGGTCTCGGTGTCGTCACCAGGACGTGCCCGAGCACCACCTTGCTCACCAAGGACGTGGAGGCTAGGATCCCGGCTCAATGTTGCATCCAGTCGCAGAAGGACGGCAAGATGAGCACACCGATCGTCATGGCCAAAAGGGAGAGCTCCGTGTGACACTTTTGTCGCTCGCAGACCAGCCACGTGTGAACAATTATCTCATCGTTTAAGCGTTTCGTTTCTCGAATCTCTCTGTACCGGTGATGATTCACGTGGTAGCGACGATTGGATTGGATCGTTGTGGAATGTACGGATGATAGATAAAAAAAAGAATCGTGGTTTCCGTTGCAGTAATTGAAACCGCGAAGGAAGGAAGGATCTTCACAATGATTCCTTTCTTTCTCGGTTTCGATTACAAAATTCGAATCTTTTCACGAGTATAGGGGTATCTTTTCCCTCCCACTATCGTGTAATTTAAGCGAGTTAAATCGTGTATAAAAAGAAGGATGTAGTTCGCGTGTAGCCAAATAAAGTGAGGAGAATTGAAAACGCGATCTTGAATTGTATCAAAGGAATAATAGTTACCCTATTATAACGTGGAACGATCGATATCTCCAAAGACGGATTACGGATAGATTGTGGTAATTTTCCTCGATAATTAAGGGATAATCATCGAGAGGAAATCGTGGTCGTTATTTTTATCGATTATTTCCGACAAACATTCCTCCTGTACATTCCAAAAGCGACCAATCGTCAATTTTGTGTTCAGAGACATTCGACAGTCGCGTGTGCGAAAACGATGTGAGCGTAAATGAAGCGGAATACTTATATATATATATATATATGTAGAACCGTATGCAAATTGAAAACGAGGCCGGTTGTATTTCGAACGAATTTATTTCCTCCGCTCGCGATAGGAACATCGCGTTTAACGTCTCTCTGTTCGATCAAGTGCCCTTTTTACATTGAACCGGACGATTCTTGAGCCACCGTGTGTGAATATATTTGAAAAAAAAAAAGAAAGAGAGAGAGAGAAGAAAAGAGGAGAAGGAGGAGGAGGAAGAGAGAAAAAAAAAGGAAGTTGGAAGATAATCGTGCGTATGATAAAAGACGTGCAAGTGCAACCGGGAACGAATTATTGATAGGGGAAAATATATACTTATACATATGCGTGGGGTTTCGCTCGTGCTGTACATATACCTTGAATACGAAGGATATTTTATACAGATTGCTATAGTATATAAAGATGAAATAAAATTATAAAAATAAAAAAAAAGAAATATGAGGGAGCGAAAGAAGAGGGAGGGAGGAATAGAATAAGCTAGAAGCTATTTATTCCCATATTTTACCGATTATGGTGAAAGAAGGGAGAAAAAAGAAAAAAAAATATAAGGGGAGAAAAATATACACATTGTACAATTTACGTTTAGACGTTGTAAGTATAAATAATGTATATGGGTATATAAATTCGATCGAGACAGCCAGAATAACGTACACTGAGAATGTCCTACGACATGAAGAGATAGAAAAGTTTAAATAGTCAATGATGGGAACAAGAATTTCGCATGTGTGTGTGTGTATGCTCGATATCGAAGAGGGGGAAATGACAAGGACGTAGAAGACATATCGTACAGCTTTTCCATCATCGAAAAAAAAAATTGAAATTAAAAAAACGAAGCATTAGAAACGAGATGAATCGAACGAAAGAAAGAAAAAAAGTAAAAAAAAAAAGCAGGTTAAAAAAAAGAAGAGGAAACATGAAAGGATCATCTCCCGTTGCTTTCGTCAGTATGCAGTATTCTGGATTTTATTGTAAAATTACGTATTTGTATAATGTATAAAGTAATGATTTTCCTTCTGCGTAATGATTCGAGGATGAAAGCAAAAATACAAAAAGGAAACCATATAAAAGAAAAACTTCCTCGTCGTGCTCTTATAAAACTATTAGTTTATTCTTTGATTATTGTTTGATTTGCAAAATTTAGAATAAATATTTAATTATTTTCAGATATATTTGATCTACTTCGATACTTTTAACATTTTTAAGATTCACTTTGTATCTTATTTAATTTTTATTCTAAAACTTTGTAGATCAAAATGAAAAGATTAGAAAATATATTGTATTTTCCATACAAAATGAACCGAAAGAATCGTAAAACGTTTTCGAAAAACGTTAAGAAAAGTGTATTATTGTATGGTATGTATAACTTCTATCCACGAATCGTTACTAGAAGCTCGTGAAAGAGAAAAAAAGACGAATATTTATAGCTTCCTTGATCGTTAAGCACAGCAAAAATGAGAAAAGAAAAAAAAAAGAAAGAAAAAGAGAGAGCTTTCGCTTCGCTCTGTAAATGTCTCCTTTTCCTAATAAATGGTAAACACATTTGTGTGCATGCGTGTATCTAACAGCCAAAGAAAATATTTGGTAGAAAAAGAAGGAAAAGGAAAAAATACGGGAAGATCTGGATAATTTAATAGATAACTCGGTGTAATACGGTCATAGGAAAATGGCGAACAATGGTTTTTCACGAATCGTTCGTGTAAATATTATCGAGAATTAGTCGTTCTTTCGAATCCTCTAGATGAATGTGTTCTTTCGATCTTTAGTCGTTAAGTTTTATCCTCGAAGACACGGTGTCTGATTGTAATATTTAAAAAAAGATAAAGAAGAAAAAAAAGAGAGAAAAAAGACACACTGCGTTGAAAGAGAAACGCGCGAATGAAATAAAAACTCGTTATTTATTATTGCCATTGATGGAATTGATATCGGCGCATAGCCAGTGTACTAAGGGGAACTTTACTAATCGTTACGAAAAACACCTATTTCATCTTGTACTAAGCGTCTTACGCTAAAAGGCTGAACAAAAATTTAAATACGAATTCATCCTGACACGATAGTGATGCGCTAGTATCGTTTCGAATGATCTAAGGCGCTTAACGAGTTTCGCTAGCAGCACAATAAATCTTCAACACAAACTGCCAATATAATATCTTTTGATAATTTATTCGAACAATTCTCCATAGTAACATCAACGAAACGGTCTAAACCGAACGGCATCGGTATTGGATTGAAATTTTATATCATCATCATACTTTTATCATCATTGTTCAAAAAACACGAGATATCAATAGCAGAGAAAAATAGTTTCTTTTCTTTTCTTTTCAAAAATCAATTATATTCTTCAAAAGGCAAACGTGATTCCAAATTCAATAATCAAATAAATCTTTAAAATTAAATTTTTAAAGTTTTTAATGAACGGGCTTTGGTTTTTTCCCATTAATCTTTGTTATAATCATTTTTCTTGAGTTCGGGGCAGAATATCATATCACGAGGTGCCGGCCAGATGGTATCTGCAAAATAATCACCATCATTCTAAATAAAGATATTCTTTCATCTTTTGTGAAATTATTCTTCTAGTGCAGAATCATTTGATCAATACACAAAACATCTTGTGGTCTTTTTATATGTAAATTATATAAATTATTAAAACTTATTGGATATATAAATTCCTCAAAGTATCTGAATGATTGTTCGGTTAGATATCTGGTTTCATTTTCAATTATCAATTCGTTATGCTATTTGACAGTGGCGAAGATACACTTCCGTTTTTACAAATTAAAAAATGATAAGATATGAATATTCACAATATTAAATATCTTTTCTTGTTAATTTTCTTTGAATTACACAGGATAGGAAATAATTCGATTGATAATAAAATATAAAAGAAAATTATATGTATGTATTTTAAATAAAAGTAAATCAAATTTTGTTTTGTATTGTAAAGTGAATTTAAAAAAATCGAATATGAAAATGCACGTGTAATCGATAAACATTTAAAACAACAAAAAAATTATAAATATTATTTTTTTTTTTAAATTAAATTTATCGTAATATTTTCTAAAATGATAATATTCTTTGTAAGAAACATTATCTTTTTTTCTTCACGAATTGTTTCCAATCCTATATAGATAATAATTTTTAGAATTAATATTCTAAGAGATGCTATGTTACGCATTAAATGTTACTTTATATTTGTTTAAATGGCAAATTTTAATTTTATAGTTAATATACAAAATTTCATTAAATATTATATAATTATTATATAATTAATTGACATTTGCGTGATAACCATAAAATATCCAAATAATACCGACCAGCGTTTACACTATCTATTTGCTTCGTTATTATATATCTTACAGTAGCCAGAAATAAGAGCCAAAAAAATCTTTTTAGACTAATAATAATACATGAAAGCACCGTTTCAGCCGTATATCGCCTGTATATTTTTAACAATTGAATTTGACCAGCTGCTTTTGCAAAAGGAAATCAAAAAAAAAAAAAAAAGAAAAAAAAAAAAAAAAAAAGAAAAAAAAAAAAAAAAAAAGAAAAAAAAAAAAAAAAAAAGAAAAAAAAAAAGAAAAGAAATCATTCGAATGAAATTTGTATATGTAATTAGTTTAGTGATACAAATTTCATGTATCCCATAAAAAAAGACGTTTTTTTGATATTGTAAATACTCTGAAATAAATAATCGTTTTTATTCAACTATTGTTTGTTATTTTTTTCAAAAAAAGAAAAGAAATTTCCACGAAAAAAGAATTATGGTATATATTATATTTAAAAGATTATAATTAAAATCAATTTTTACTTGCTAAGTATCTCGATAATCTAATTTGTAAAAAAAAAAATGAAATTTGCACAATGATTTCGTTGAATATTAATTACCTGAATACAAATTAATTGTTGGCGTGACAGAAAATATTCTCAAATAGTCTTCAATAGTTAAAATTACAGGATGTCTGATATTCAATAAATATTCTAATAATGTGCTTTCAGGATAATATGGTGCAAACTTTTCATTTAATGTTTTCACGACTTCATTCATTGGAATTGACTTTATAAAAAATATTATAAATATTAACGATTGATTTTAATTTTAATAAACAGAATTCATTACTTCATTATTAGAAAAACTTACGCTATCTTTAATCGTATTTGAAATATGATCACACAATATATAAATTTTTCTAAAGCAATTTGACATTTGATATAGAATATCATCCAATTCAAATGATGTAAATGGTTGTATTAACGAAGGAGGTATTGAATACACATAGGACCATTGCGAAAAAAATCTCTGCGAATTTCAATCAAAGAATTCTTGTTTCTTTTTTTTTTTTTTTTTTTTTTTTTTTTTTAATTCATTATAAATCTCACCTGATGAACATGATGATAAGTCGGGAGGTAAATTGCTCTTTTTATTTTACACTTTTTATTTTCAAAATTAATTAAAGCTTTGAAATGTCTATAAATTATATCTTCTGCCGTCTATGATAAGAAAATTTATTTTTCTTCGTGAAATCGTTAAAATAAAAATATCTATTCAAATATTATGATTTTGAAAATAATTTTTTACTTAATTCACCTCTATTACATGAACAAAATATTTAGGATAAATAAGGAACAATCCAGTGATGGGGATATTGATATAATCTTCTTGTAAACTATTTATTATAGATTCCATTTGCTGGAAATTATGTTTTATGCACTACATGAATATTGTTTTATAATTTTTCATAGAATTATTTTAACTTTATCTATAATTAAAATTTTTTTATAACTTTGATTAATTATTAGTTTCGTACTTCTTCTAAATTTACATTTTCACCAATATATTCTCCAACATACGTAACACGTGTTATATACGTAATCTACAAATAATATACTGTTTTTACTTAACAGATTCAAAAATTTAAATCAATGGAAATAGATGGCGTTTTAGTACGAATTGATGATTTCAAACAAATATATTTATTTATAAAATAAAACATTTACTTGAGAAAAATATATTCTCGTATTATTATTCTTGATATCTTAAATAAATTGATCAAATGATAATTGATTGAAATTAATTTCTTACCTTACCAGTAGCTCGAAGATTTTTTTTGATTACGTCCAGCAAACTTTTTCGAACAGGTTCAACTACGCGTTTCATAGCATATAATGTTTTACACGTATTTTTCACAATATTATATACACAATGAAATAATATTAAGTAAATTCAAAAATATTTCAAACACTGATAATACTATAAAACTGATTTTAATCGATAATATTCATGCACAGCACTAATGACGCGTCAAAGCTATCAAACACTTCGAAGCTCAATGGCGGATATCCATAATTACTACGTTAATCGTTCAATTATAATTAAGTTGTTATTTTTCAAAATTATCATTTTATTAAAAAATCTTGTTTAAATATTATAATAATTTATTAATTCAAAATTAATTTATAAAGATTTATTGTATTTATAATTAATATGCGTTGATACACAACGCATATTACAATTTTATAAATTTCTAATTCAATCAACGTTGTCTTTCCGGTTCAATTTCAATTCCATTTGAAATTTAATATAATATATATTTTTTAATGTATAATATTTATAATATTATAAAAAAATGACATCTTTTCTGTTAAATATATTTATTTTAATTAAATACAAATAAATCATAGTTTCAAGGAATAATATATGTAAAATTATAATTTGCTAAAATTAAATGAAATAGCAAATTTATAAATTAGATTCATATACATATACACTTTTATTAATAGTGTATATACTTATGCATAATTAACTATTGCTATCTACTATCACATTATTATGATTGTAACAAATACATATCTAAAAAAAATTTTATATTTTTTATGTTTTTAAATGAAATTTTATTTTTTTTATATATAGAAAATAAGTTCTATTTTTTGAATTAATTTTTTAAGTAATATTAAACATAAAAATATAAAATTATTTATTTTCATATTTTTTAATATTACTAAAAACTGAATAATTACTTTTATTACTTTTTAGCTCTTGGACACTCTAAAATTGGAGGTGGAGGTGGAGTTGGTTCACTAGGATTTCCCAACCACACTGATTTACTAAAACGACCCTTTATAACAGGTGGCTGCCATTTATTGCTGCACATGACTGTAACTGTAGGCTTCTCTGCAGTGACAGTTGCTATAGTTATTGCTCTGAAAGTGAAATAAAATCTATTTAGACAGTGATAAATTATTTTAATCATCAACAATCAAAACTAATAAACTTAAATTTTCACTAAAATAATAATACAAAACTTACTGTAAGATGATCTTTTATTACTAAAAAAATAAAGAAATATTTATCAACAATTAATTTATTTTTTTATAAATTACTTAATACTTCAAGGTAGGTAAAAATAAAAAAGTATTATAATGTATATTTATTTATTAATGAAAAAAATGTATTACAAATTGAATGAAATATATACTTTTTGTAAAATATTTTTCAAATTTGTTTTCAAATACATACATAATAATTCAATATTTACAATAATTTTAACGCTGAATAAAAATATATGTGATTTAAATAATTAACACACCTAAAATTTATTATTTAATAAATCTTTTTATATTAAAAGATAAAATATTTTTAATTAATAATCTCTTCAATAATATATTCTTTGCTAATTTCTAATAGCGAAATATCGCTCTTTTTTCAAGTAGAAATTTGTTTAAAATAGATATAAATAAACAATAAGTTTATCATTTTATCAAAATAATTAAATGATTAAATAATATGATAGGTTATATCATAAACAATTCTAGTAGAACACTTATTTTATAATTATATTATTTAACAAAAAAATACAAATTACTAAAACAATAAAATAATGTGCAATGCTATGAAATTATAATTGTTTAGTATATTATTAATATAAATTGATTTTTTTGATTATTAAAAATACAAAATATTTGTTCAAAAATAAGAATAGTTAATATTTTTATTATATAAATATAAATCCAATATTTTCCAAAATTTCTGACATTATATGAAATAATAAAACTATTAAGTATGTTAAAAAATAAATCATTTTGTCTAATGCCAAGGCACTTGGTTTGGATGACTGATGGAACCCAATTTGTAGTACCTTGTTGTAGAAGATGTTTGTTGTATTCCTGTTGAATGATTAGGCGGTGTTGCTGCTATAGAAGTTTCAGCACTTTGAGCAGAGGTGCCATCACCTTTCAAAACAGCAACACATTTCCAATTGTTAATATAATTATCTTTCCATAATCGAACACAACCATCATCTCCTGAACTTGCTAAAATAGTTCCCATAATATTCCAACACACTCGCCATACAGTAGGATTATGATCAGAAAATTGTGCTGCTATGTTAATTTCAAAACGTGATGAACCACTTTGTGCACTATCCCTATATTAATAACATTTTTATCTAATTTCTTATCTCTTTTTTCTAATTTCTTATTCAATATTTATAGGAATTAAAAAAAAGTTATACTCACAGTATAGGTTTTAATGTAATTATTTGTACATCATTTGATGCAATAGCTAATGTGTGAAAACTTCTACCTAAATTTGGAGCAAATGCAATATCATGAACAGGGTCAATAATGGATAATGTTTGTGTTTTTGTCCACCTTCTACTACTTTCAGAATATTCGTATATAAAAACTTTTCCTTCAGATGATGGATTTGGATCATCACTTCCAACTGCTATCATTGGAGGATGTAATCTGATATAAAATAATTGATGAATATTTAATTTCCATATTTATAATATATATTATATAAATTTTAGTAATTTTTTATACCTTGAAAGAGATGGATTCCATGATAAGCAACTACATTGAAGTTTACAACTAATGTCATGTTGTAAAGTCCATTGACTTAAATTCATAACATCAGGAGCTTCATATATTCTAATTACTCCATCTTCACTACAAGTAGCTAACAAAAGTCCTAAAGTTTTAGGTGCAAATTTTACATCTGTAACAGTCTTTCTAGAATCTACTAAATTTGTTCTTCGAACCCAATGTCTCATACCACGTTCTCCTGGTCCTGATCCTTCTCCAACTACAAATAAAATTAATAATAATAAACTATAAAATAATTAATCATAATATAGAAATTAAAAATTAAAAATCATTTAAAATTAAAATTAAAATTAAAATTAAAAATAAAACTCAATAATAATATTACCTATCTCTTCCCACACAGCTGCTGTTCTATCAAAAGAACATGTTGCTAAAACTTGACCAAATTCTGGATGTGCCCATGTTACTTTAAATACAGATCCACTGTGTGCTTTCCAAGATGCAGTTAAATGCCAATTTCCATGTTCATCTTCATCCCAGACCTACATAAATTTATTATTCTTATGTATGACTACAATAGAAATTGTTCATAATACAAATACAATTAACGATTGCAAAAATCTTACTTTTACAAATTGATCACTAGAACATGTTGCCATTCGTTGTCCATAAAAGTCGTAAGCAATATCATGAATCAAATCTTTATGTTCAGCGTTAATACTGTGTGCTTCAAACATCTTTAATTATTTATTTATTTACAAAATACAAAATAAAATAAACTTCAATATATAAATTATTATATGCAATTATCAATATAAATAAAGGTTAGGAAATATGATTAATAAACTTTTTTATAAAATTAGCCAAATGTGAAAAAATCATAAAATTAAATTTTTATAATTTAATATATATATAAAACATCATTGTTAAAATCATTTATTTTTTTCAACAATTTACTTTGTACATTTATATCATTAGAAACGAGGAAAAACACTGTAGAATTCAACTAATTTACTAACATTCTTTATGATCATTATAATTATATAAATAAAATATATATTTGAAATTTTTAAACGAAATTATCAATATTAAATTAATAGAAAAACTTAATTTTTATTTAGTTAAAGTTTGTATTTTCAGTATATTATTTGAATGCATTTCAATAAACCGGTACATCTTAAGCACATTGTCACTAGCTATAATAAACTAATATTAAATCTTAATATGTATACTATTGCTGTATTTAAAAATAATAGTGTATTTAAAAATATATTTATTTTTTATATTAATAAAATATAATAATATATCATAATATTATAAATTTATTTTAATAAAAATTATAAAAAATACATATATCTAATGTATTACATTACTAGTTATATTTCTTTCACTAGTAAATTATTAGTTTAAAACATAAAATTTAACTTTTTTATTAATTCATATCTACATAGAATACAAAATGTTATACATTTTATAATTTTTTAATATTCTGCAATTTTTTACTATTTTAAAACTTGAAGAAAGTTCTATGAACGACTAGAGACTGTTTCATGACAAATTCTCATGAAGTTAGTGTATAACGTGTCAGACCACGTATGTCATTCAAACAAACTGAACTGTGTATTATAAAATAATTCTATAAGGTAATTATATGTTTCATAATTAATTAAATTATTAGATAATTTTTTATAAGATTTTTTTATGTAATTTTAAATATTTTCTTTATTAAATTAAAAATATAAATCGGTAAATTAATCTTTCAATATTTTATATTTTAGATGATTACAGATGTGCAGCTGGCTGTATTCTGCAACATTCTCGGAGCAACATTATTTTGCTTAGTATTTCTTTTTCACTATGTATATGCAAATTATACGAAATAAAAGAGTAACATGTTGTTACTGAACATAACCTTAACTTGCACTTTACATATAAAATGGAGTTGTACATCTACATATTATATTTTATATTGATAAATATGATAAATTAAAATAAATGATTTAATACTGAAAAATAGTTTTGAAACAGAATAATATTTTCTCTAATTCTCATATAAATAATATATAAATTAAATATTAAAAAATATTTATTAAAAAATAATCGATATATATGTAATAATGTAATGCAATATATTTTGTATATATTTTATTTCAAATAAATATATCATTTTTAAATATAATTTTCATAATAACTATCAATATATACTTACTTTGCATAAATAATGTGAAACAAAAAAAATAGAGATTAGTTACTATCTTCAGAGTATTTTAAAACAATGAAGTTAGTCACTTATAACTCGTAATTATACATAGTCAATGTATTATTATGTCTTTTGCATACATAGCTACATACGGAAAATTCACAATATAGTTTTGGACATTTAACGTGTAAATTTAGAAAAGTTAATCAGCAATGACTGACGATTCCAATGGAGAATCTACATTCGAATTTGTTGAAAGAAAGACAGATGAATCATCTACATCTGGAGAAATAGTAAAAACGGGTAAGAAAAAAGGCAAAACATAAACACTTGCGTATCTGTCAAATTCTTTTACAAGTGAAAAGATTTACGTTCGCTATAATTAGTTAGCACAGACTTTCATATTAGCAAAACATATTACAAATAAATTATAAAAGATAAATTTTTAAAAAATATAAATGATTTTTAACAATATAACATAAAATGAATTTAAATTTATAATAAATAGATTTATATTTAGCAAATTATATCTTATTACATAAAATGTTTTATGATATATTTAAACGAAAAATAAATATTATTTAAAAAAAAATAATTTATTAATTTTATAATATTAATATATTATTATAAAATAATACTCATATAGATAACAATAATCATATAATTTTCAGATTCTTTTAGCAGTTTATCATCATCAACATCTTTATTAATGCCACTAGGCATATCAACATCTACAGGCAATTTATTATCAAATGTAGCACCACCTAGTGCATTACCTAGCTTTATTTCAAATTCTGGAACATTGATATCAGAAAGGCCTAGTAATTTGGAATCATCTACGCAAAAGAAATTTCATGAACAGGAACCTACTAAATCAATGTTAAATACTATTATTCAATCTAAATCATTACAGCAAGAAACACATCAAACAACTGTAACTTCTATTATTACTCCGTCCACACAAAATGTACCAACTACAATACCATCAGAAACTGTGACTCAAGATTCAGGAATGGTTGGAGTTGGTTTATTGTCATGGGTTAAAGAAACAGTAGTAAATAGTAATGTATTGAGCAAAGTTGCAGAAAAAGCAAAAAATAGTGTTAATACTATGATCACAACATTAGATCCTCAGATGCGTGAGTTCATTTGTAAGTAAGAAAGCTACTAATCCTGACATGCAAGTAAAAGTAATTTAATCCTTTTCTATTTTGTAAATTTTTCAATTTATTTGATATTTTATTTTGTATATTTAAATATATGTCATTGTGTGTGTAATTATGTTATTGCATCATATCTGAAAGAAATATATATGTAGTGTGTTATTTTTGGATGATCTGCAAACCAAATACAATTCGCTGTGTCACTGTCATTTACAAAAAACTTTTCCATTTTTTATTTATTGAGCTAAAACTATATAATATATGTATAACAGTAATATAAGCCACATATAAAAAAAAAATAATTTCATATTTTGCATTATAAATAAAAACTGTGAAAATTTAAGGTTATAAATTAAGAACTTTTATAAATAAATATTTTTAAAAATAAATACTTTTTCACCAATTATGCATATATTCATGCTCAGTATTATAAAGCATTATTTTTGAAAACAATTTTTAATAATAAGCATTATGTTTTGTGCCATTATATTACAATAAAATGGCAATAAAACTTTTTAAAAAATAATATATAAATTTCATACTATTTATATATAAATGTAAATAGTAACATAGTGACTGTGCAACATGTTAGTCAATGTAAAAACATATATGCGGGCTCTGTTGAAAGTATACATTTCAGATTCTGGTGGTGACATGGAGATTATAGTTGCATCAGACAAAGATGTTAAAATAAGTCCTGTACGTCAGGCTTTTCAAACTGTTTTTGGAAAAGCAACAGTAACGTGAGTAATAATATAATAAAATAGTAATAATATAAATTTATATTATATTATATTAATATAATATTTATTTAATTTATTATATTTATACTATTTTATTTTTATTCAAACAATTCATTATTTCTATAGTGGTGTCTCAGTAGAAACTTCTGCTGTAGCTGCTCAACCAGTTGGTTTTGCTGCTGGTGTAAAAGGAGCAGAAGAGAGAATTAATTCTGCACGAAATATTCCAACTCTTCCAAAAGATATACCTATAATTGCAGTGGAAAATTTTTTGTTAGAAGTTGGTGAAGATAAGTGGTATGATTTAGGGGTGATACTTCTTAATGACCCCAAACGTAATGTGAATTTACAAACCTTCACTCAAATGACTCCAGTACCAAGTCAAATAGTAACAATGGCACAAGAAGCTACACCTGAAGATTATCCTCTTAAATGGTCTGGATTGTCAGTTACTGTTGGTAGTTTAATGGCAAATAGCTTACAGGTTAGTTTCAAATAATTATAATAATTACATTTAAAATTGTAAAAAATATTTGTCCTATAGGTTAATCACAATGAATGGCATCATGCACTTACTGGAATTTCCAGAAGAGATATTATACTTTTAGCAGTTCAATCACTAGCTGGAATTTATAAAAATACAATTAATCCTGTCTAAATTTTTATGAAGAATACATCGACGCAATTTATCAATGAATTGCGTTTTTGTAAATATAATTATAATAATAGTATACTTGTATCAGTTGCAAAATTTATATTTTAGGCTCTTACTTTAAATAAGTATCTAACATTTTATCACATTGTTGAAACAAAGATTCAATTTCAATTAATGTGATATACTTCTATTAAATTAGTATTTATAAATTAAGAAAATGTATTTTAATTATATGTGGCAATATGTACAAAAAATCAAAGAAATCAAGACAAAATATATAAAAAAATAGATTTGGTATACCGAATGTGATTATTTCATCACATGTTAATGATAAATATTTTATTAAAATAAAGGTATATTTTATTAAAATAAAATAATTAATAATTTTTATACAGTTTTATATAATTTTTTTTTGTTTCCTGGTTCCGTGAAATTTTGAAATAATTTTGAAATTGGGTATTATTTTGTAAAAACAATAAAATACATTTGCTTTTATAATTCCATTTTTAATTTCTTGATGTATTGTTTCAATGAGTACATTGCTGTTGTAGATTTTTTATTATCAGATAACTTTAAAATTCGTCCAATTGTTTGAGAACACAAACAGAAAAATTAAAACTAATTATGGTAAAAAAGCAATGTAAAAAATTACGGTTTTTTGTTCGTATTCTTTTATACGAAATTGGTAATAAGTTATCACCATAATAAAAATAACAATTGAATTTTTATCTGATGCTGATATGCTAAAAACAAAGCCACTAGAGATCTTGATAATGTGGCATGCTTAATTAAATAAATGTATAAAATATTTCTCCTTGCGCTAATATATGTACTTTCCATTATAATTACAATTTATTATTTTTTCCCATATTTATAATCATGTGATTTTTACGGTTCTTTGCGCAAAACAAAGTTCATAATAAACCGATGTAGATTGTATACGGTCCGAGCGATATTAATTGAATTACAATATTTAAATAGATATTTAAATATGGTGCGCGAATCTATGGTTACAATTTGTCAAGGTATGCATTCAAATCTGGGAGACCTTCCTTTAATCCTTTTCTTTTACGTGTTTCCTAAAAAAATAATCATATTTAATCATATGCATAGATTAAAAAAAATATACATATATAGAGAAAAAGGAAAATGATGTTTGTTTCCCTATTCAGGTAAGTCAGAATATATTATTGAAATACCAAAACAAAAAACAATTTCTTTTCCACGAGATTAAAAATGGTAATATACTTATATTTACTTATTACCATCAGTTATGATCGTGGATGAATATAAATTTCAAATCAGATAAATTACCTGCACGACTTGGTAAGGTCTAGAATTAGGTTCCATTGGATCACCAGGCAAAATCTGCCAGTGGTCGAATACACATTGTGGGAAAGCTTGTCCTCCGGTATTAGAACGTAAGTCGGCAGTAAAG